CGTTTGCATGATCGCAGGAATGGGCGGCGAAGAGGTGGGTGGACGGAGGCTGTCCGCCCGCGAAGCTGAATATCGGGCTGGCCACCTACGGCCGTAGCTTCACGATGTCCTCCTTTGACTGGGAGCACGACATGGGCGACCCGGCGGAGGGCGCCGGCAAGGCCGGACGATTCACGGCCGAGGACGGTTACCTCTCCTATTACGAGGTAACGAACTTGCGCGCGCTAGGGGGAGGGTTGTTGTTAGAATCGTAACTGACCCTAGGTTAGGGTTAGTAGCATAAGGATAGCGCTAGTCCTAACGTCTCCTTCTAAACGGCTAGTAAAACAATGTTTAATCCTAAGGGTTGGTTCTAGTTTTAACATCACGCTCTAAAGTGTTGTCGTTCTAAATCGTTGGTCCTGCTTCCAACTTAATTATCTTTCTACATCGTTGGTAAAACAATGTTTACTCCTAAAGGCTAGTCCTAGTTCTAACCTCTCGTTCTAAAGCGTTGTGAGCAAGATAATAACGTTATCGTGACTAGTACTATGCACAAATTCAAATAAAACTTATATCACGTGGATCAGACAATAACCCGAGGCCACGTCCGACATTTTATCGCGAGTAGCGCTTCGTGATTTCGGCAGGGGTACATGAATAGCAATATGAATATATATATATATATATATGTATATATATGTATATACAATATATATATATATATTATATCACATCCTATATAATAATATATATTAACATAGAGTGACCGATCTTACTCATGGTATACAGTCATTAGCAAATTGCTGTGTCATGGCTAGAAAGGTAGAACTAGCACAGTATGTACTAGTATATTGCGGCCTTTATCTTACTTGCGGTGCAACTTAAGTGTCTTAAGTCCCACAGAGTGGAAGCTTTCATAGATCGGTGAGATTATTGGTTAAGTGTGGGAGTGCATCGTAACAGGTTTAGGAGATTATTCATGTAGTGGGGTGTATTGTTACAAATCTGCTGTATCGTAGTTTTTGAATGACGTATCGTTACGAATAACTAATAGAGTTACTAATAAAACTAAGTCCGAAGTATGGCTACGGATATCCGTAGTCATTAGCATGAAGTATATAGAATAAGTTGTTACTTTAGTAATAGGCGGTGGGCCATAATACATAGATCAGTTACCAAGACCAAGACCCAGACCAAGACCCAGACCAAGTTCCGTTACATTGGTGGAGAAAGCCGGAGAGCAGGCTGTAAACTGTTTCTGTTGTATAACTGCTCGGGACATAAACCTGTATAGAGTATAGTTATAAATGCGTAGCCTGGTGCGACATTATAAAGCGGACAAGCTAAACGACCGCTCTTGTGTTAGATGTACGTGTAGACGTTTGGTAGCTGTGCCCCTTTTACCAATTAGGTGAAGTACGCACACAAATACCGATATGCACGCACACACGCACGCACGCACACAACACAACAAACACGCACGCACACAATACACAACAAGCACGCATTCGCGCACACACTCCCACGCCTTCCCCCCCCCCCCCACCACACAGACGCCCCCCACCATACCCACCACACACACCCTGATCCGCCGCTGCACACACACACACACCCCACACACACACATAACGTGCACCACACCGGCCCAAGTCTATCTTTAGCGACCATCAACTCTATACACTACGTCTACGCAGAGTCGCTACCATACAGGTTCACGGCTGCGCGCAAAATCACAGACAACGACGCGATCATTCATTCATCTCATTGATGCGACATTGTCAATGAAGTGAGCACTGCAAGATGATAAAAATCGCATGCATGCATGGAATTGTACGATACATATGTACACCGCAAACCCACAGGATAGGGACGCTAATATAACATACACTCAGCACCAAAAACCACGACACAGGCACCCATCCACACAACCAGCCACGACACGACAACAACACACCGCAGGCTCACACCACAAGCCATCGGGGACCAGCACCACACACACACATGCGACCAGCACACACACACACACACGACTCGCAACACACACACTCCACACATACACAAACACAGCCACACACCCACACCTCAGCACACACACAGCCCACACCGCCCCACACACACGTACATACATTTATACATCGGCAGTATAACATGCAGCGACACATGCACACAACATTTGACACGCGTAACGTTTTGCACGTGCCGGTAGGCCATGCCCCAGTGCTAGGCCACGGCAGCGCTCTGGGGGCATGCCCGCCCACGGAAAATTTTGAAATATTTAAGCATTTTGGGGCAATATTTGACGGCGCGTTTTGGGGGGGGGGGCGACCGCCCCCCCCGCCCCCCCTGGCTACGCGCCGGCCGCGAGGCGGGCGCTGTTGCGGGCTTCGCGCGCGGTATATCCGGGCTGCACGATCGTCTAGTGGCAACACGCAATAAAATAGAAGTACGGCCATAGATCGACATGCCTCACCGTCCCGCATCCGGTCACGGTGCTTACTTACCAGTACATAGAGATGTTGATGACTATAGCTAAGTATTTTATTGCTCGTGGTTACCTGGGTGATTTATCTTCTTTGACACTTCCTTAAGACCACAGCCGAAACTACGCACCGCATGCGCAATGAGTCTTATATATCTCTCACGCGCCACACACATGCACCACGCTCAAACAATCCACGACACCACAGCTGCGCCACACAAACACCCACCCACACATCACACACCACACACAACCCGGGCACACGAGCACACAGTCGCGGCGCCACCACGACGCACGCACCGCGACACACGCCCACACGCCCAACGCAGCGCCACGCACGCATCGCACGCATGCACCGCACACACAGGGCACGACAGCAGCCACACATAGCCAGCCCCGTGCCCAGACAAGCCAGGGCCAAGAGCTGCTTATTCAACTACGCTAGCATACTAACGAGTTATTATAATAAATAATAGCAGCTGTGTATCTCTCGCTCGCGTGCAGATCTGTGAGATGTTACGGAATGGAGCTACGCGACTGTGGCACGATGAGCATCAAGGTGTGCCCTACCTGTACACCACAGACAAGCAGTGGGTCGGCTACGATGACGAGCAATCAATCGACATCAAGGTATGTGCGAACACAGGGCACGCATGTAATGATGCCAAGAGCATATAAACCCTTATGTATTCCTTATATAGTATACACAGCACGCGCGCGACAGACGCACACACACACCAATCACAACACACACACACACGGCGCCACCACGACACCAGCACCACACAACAACGCACACACGAGCCACACACACACTACAGCATATATATATTACTATTATAGTATATACGCAGCCACACACACAGCAGTTCAGAGGCACAAGCACCACACACAACACACACAGCACACAGCATTCACAGCACACACCTCGCTGCCGCGCACGACACCTCACGTCATGCGGCGTATTAATATTAGTTTCTAATATCAGCGGAACACGAGAGCGATCGCGCCGAATCACGTAACGTGTTGTAGGGCGCGTTCTAGTAATAGGTTGGTATAGGTCGAAGAAATATACTCTGTAGACCAATTGGAAACCGACCGTGTACAAGTATTTCAGGTGAAATGGAGTGCCGTGATAATGGCACGCGTGGCGCCCTCGTGTGAGACAATAGACTTGGATGACTCTTACTGAGGAACCTTCTTCAGGCAAGGGTACGTCGCCGCTTTCGCGTGGCGGTATGTATACTGTGCAGCGTGCGTGCAGCGTACGTGCAGACGTGCGTGAGTGCCGTGCGGTATCGTGGCAGCGTACGTAGTGCGGGCGTGAGTGCGTGCCGTAATGTGCAGCGTCACGTGCAGCGTGTGTAGAGTGCGTATGTGCAGCGTAGTGCACCGTGTGTGATTAACGTGCGTATCGTGCAGCGTACGTTGCAGTCGTGTGTGAGTGCGTGCGTACGTGCAGCGTGCCGTGCGTGGTATGTGCAGCGTGTGTGCATTGCGTGCGTATCGTGGGCTAGTACGTGGCAGAGCGTGTGTGAGTGCGGTGCGTACGTGCAGCGTGATGCGTGAGTGCGTGCGTTGCGCCAGCATACGTGGCAGCGGTGCGTGAGTGCGTGCGTATGGTGTCAGGATCACGTGCAGATCGTGAGTGCCGCTGCGTGTGGAGCGTGTGTGGTGCGTGCGTTATGTGCAGGCGTACGTGCAAGCGTGTGTGAGTGCGTGTGTGTGCAGCGCTACGTCGCAGTGTGTGTGAGTGCGTGGCGTGTGCAGCGGCGATACGTGCAGCGCGTTGGAGTACGTCGTGAGGAGTGGCGTGAGTGACGTGCGTATGTGCTAGCGTGCGTGAGTGCGTCGTGAGTGCGTGCGTATGTGCGGCGTAGCGTACAGCGCGTATGAGTACGTGCGTATGTGCAGCGTGCGTGAGTGCGTGCGTATGTTGCAGGCGTGCGTTGAAGTGCGTCGTGAGTAGCGTGGTCGTATGTGGCACGAGTACGGACAGCGCGTGTGAGTATCGTGCGTAAGTGCAGCGTACGTGCAAGCGTGTGTGAGTGCGTGCGTACGTGCAAGCGTGTGTGAGTGGCGTGCGTATGTGCAGCGTGTGTGAGGGGCGTGCGTATGTGCAGCGTACGGATGCAGCGTGTGGTGAGTGGCGTGCGTATGTGCAGGCGTGTTGTGAGTTGCGTGCGTATGTGCAGCGTGTGGTGAGTGGCGTGCGTATGTGGCAGCGTACGCCGCAACGCGTGTGTGAGTGGCTGGCGTATGTGCAGCGTACACGTGGCAACGTGTGTGAGTGCGGTGCGTATGTGCAGCGCGTACGTGCAGCGTTGTGTGAGTGCTGCGGTTGCTAGTCAGCGTGCGTATGGTGCAGGTGCGTGAGTGGGTCGTGTGCGTGCGTAGTGTGCAGCGTACTGCGCGTACGTGCAGGCGTGTGTGATGCGGCAAGCAGCGTACAGCCAGCTGTGCGTGATGTCGTATGGGCAGGCGTACAGTCAGCGTGCGTGAGTGCGTGCGTATGTGCAGCTAACGTTCAAGCGGTGACGTGCGTGAGTGGGCCGGCTACGTTCAGGTGCTGAGTGCGTGCATGGCGTAAGTGCAGAGTGTGTGAGTGCGTGCGTTTATGGTGAGCGTTACGTACAGGCGGTTGTGAGTGCGTGCGTATGTGCATTGTACGTGAGTACGTGGCGTGAGATGTGTGTAACGTGTACGTGTACGTAGGGTGCTCGTAGCTGCGGGTTAGAGGTTTGAACGACTATTGACGTGAGGATTTGTGTCGGTTGTTGGTTCACAAACAAAACATGTACAATCTGAACATCATCTAATCATATATTTCAGTTCGTATTGTAGTGTATATATATGTTGTATGTATGTATGTATGTGTATACGATGTATGTATGTATAGTATAGTATTATGTATGGTATGTATGTAATGTATGGTATGTATTGTATGTAATGTATGTATGTATGTAAATGTATGTATTATGTATGTATGTATGCTATGCTATGTATGTATGTATGTATGTATGTATGTATCTGTATTTGTATGTATGTATGTATCGTGAATGTAATGTATGTATGTATGTATGCTATTTGTATGTATGTAATGTATGTAGTGCTATGTATGTATGTATAGTGTATGTATGTATGGTTTATAGTACTGTATGTATGTATGATGTATGTATGTAGATGTATGTATGTATGTATGTATGCTATTATGTATGTATGTATGTATGTATGTATTATGTAGTATGTAATGTATTATGTATGATATGTCATTTGTGATGATAGTGTATGATACGTATGTATATGTATGTATGTATGTATGTATTGATGTTATTATTGTATGTATGTATGTATGTATGTATGTATGTATGTATGGTATGTACTGTAATGTATGTATCTATGTAAATATGTATGTGATGTATGTATGGTATGTATGGTATGTATGTACTGTATGTATGTAAATGTATGTATGCTATGTATGTATGTAATGTATGTATGTATGTATGTATGTTAATGTATGTGGGGTTTTGTATGTAATGTATGTATGGTATGTATGTATGTATGCTATGTATGTTGTATGTATGTATGATGTAATGTATCGTATGTATTATGTATGTATGTATGTATGTACGTATGTGTATGTTGTATGATTATGTTATGTGATGTAATGGTAATGTATGTATTGATGTATGTATGTAATGTATGTATGTATGGGTATGTATTGTATGTATTTGTATGGTATGGTATGTGCATGTATGTATGCTAATGGTATGTATGTATGTAGTATAAATGTATGTATGTATGTTCTGTAGTAATGTAATGTATGTATGTAAAATGTATGTATGTAAATGTATGTATGTATATGTATGTATGTATGTATGTATGTATGTACTATGTATGATGTATGTTATGTATGTATGTATGTATGTATGTTATGTATGTATGTATGTTTTATGATGTAATGTATGTATGTATGTATGTATGATGTATGTATCGTAATGTAGATTATGTATTGTATGTATGTAATGTATGCTATGTATGTTATGTATGTATGTATGCTATGTATGTGATGCTATGATGATGTAAATGTATGTATGTATGTATGTATGTATGTATGTATCGTATGTATGTATGTCTGATGTTTATATGATGTAGCTAATGTATGATTATTATGTGTATGCTAATGTATTGTATATGTATGTATTATGTATGTAATGTAATGTTTATGATATGTATGTATGATATGTATGTATGTATGTATGTATGATTATGTATCGTATGTATGTATGTGTATGTTATGTAATGTATGTTGTATGTATGTATGTATGTATGTATGTATGTATGGTATGTATGTATGTATGTAATGTATGTACTGTATTAGTATGTATGTATGTATGTATGATTATGTATGCTACATTATGCTGATGATGTATGTATCGTATGTATGCTATGTATGTATGTCTTATGTATGTATGTTTGTATTATGTATGTATGTATGTATGTATGTATGCTATGTATTATGTATTGTATGCTATATGTATGTATGTGTATGTAGTGTAGTGATGTATGTTATGGATGTAATGTATGTATGTAGTATGTGTATGTATGTATATGTATCGTATGCTATGTATGTATATGTAATGTATGTATGTATGATGTATGTATGTGTATGTATGTATGTATGTATGTATGTATGTATGTATGTATGTGTATGTAATGTATGTATGTATGTATGTAGTATGTATAGTATGTAGTATGTATGTATGTATGTATGGTATGTAATTGTATTATTGTAATGTATGATATGTTATATATGTATGTATTTATGTATGTAATGTATGTATGTATGAGTATGTATGTACTGTATGTCATGTATGTAGTATGTATGTAATGTATGTATGAGCTATGTATGTATGTATGTATGTATGATGGTATGTATGTGTATGTATGTATGTATGTATGGATGTATGGTATGTATGTAATGTATTATGTATGGTATGTAATGGCTATGTATGTAATAGTATTGTAATGTATGTTATGTATGTATGAGTATGTATGTATGATGTATGTAATGTATGTATGTTACTGTAGTATGGTATGTATGTATGTATGTATGTATGTATGTATGTATGCTAATGTATGTAGATTATGTAATGTAGTGTATGTATGTATGTATGTTAGTATGCTCATGTATGTATGTATGTATGTATGTATGTATGCTATGTATGTAATGTAGAATGTATGTATGTATGTATGTATGTATGTTTATGTACTGTTGTATGTATGTATGTAATGTATGTAATGTAGTATGTATGTATGATGTATGTTATGTATGCTATGTAGATGTATGTTGTATGTGTATGTCATGTTATGTATGTTAATGTATATGTATTAATGTAATGTATGTATGTATGTATGTATGTATGTATGTATGTAATGTCATGATATGAGTATGTATGTATGTATGTATGTTGTATGTCTGTATGTAATAGTATGTATGTATGTATCGTATGTAATGTATGTATATGTATGTATGTATGTATGTATGTATGTATATGTAGATGTATGTAATGTATGTATGATGTAGTAAGTATGTAGTATGGTATGTATGTTATGTATGTATGTATGCTATGATGTATGATGATGTATGTAATGTATGATGTATGTATGTAGTGCTATGTATGTAGTGTATGTATGTATGTATGTACTGATGTATGTATGTATGTATGTATGTATGATAGTGTACTGTATGTATGTATGTATGTATGTATGTCGTATGTATGTATGTATGTATGTAGTATGTATGTATGTAGATGTATAGTATGTATGTGTATGTAATGTATGTGTATGTAATGTATGTATGTATGTAGTAGTGTAATGATATGATGTATGTATGGTATGTATGTAGTATGTCTGTTATGTATTGTTATGTAATGTTGTATGTATGTATGAAGTATGTTATGTATGTATGTATGCTATGTATGATATGTATGTAATGTATGTATGTATGTATGTATGATAATGTATGTATGTCATGTATGTATGTATGTTATGTCTTGTATGTATGTATGTATGTATGTATGTATCGTACTGCTAATGTATGTATGTATGTATGCTAGTATTGTTATGTATGTCATGTATGTATGATGTATGTAGCTATTGTATGATGTATGTATGTATGTATGTATGTATGTACTCGTATGTATGTATGTATGCCTATGTATGCGGATGTATGTATGTATGTAGAGAGTAGTATGTATGATAGTATGTACTGTATTATATGTATGTATGTATGTATGTATCGTAATGTATGTATTAGTATTGTATGTATGGTAGATTGTATGTATGTATCCATATGTATGTCCCTCTATGCCGCCAAAACGCGCCAAGCGGATCTGGATGCAATTTTCCAAGGCGATGAGCACGTCTGGAGAGTGGTCCTAGCTAAAACAAAAAGTTGAAAAAATTAAAAAGTTAAAAATTGATAGAAATTCTATTGATCAAAGATGGCGATGCGGTACAGATTAACATGACATACGTGTGAATCCATGGATGTATAATCGTTAAGGAGACGGAGTGCGTAATCGTAGAACATTCCGTCTCCTACACCGGAATTCCGGGTTCGAGTCCCAGCTGGAAACCGTATTTGCCCCCTTTTTTTCGTTTTTCCCTATTACCTACATTCTTTAGTATGTATTATCTTTAATTTATTTTTATTTATTGATTTCATTTAATTTATTATTTGTTTAATTTATTAATTATTTCTATTTTTAATGTCTTTTATCTTTTGAATTTA